CCCATTAGCCCCTGGCTCCCTGAGGACTTCTCCCAGCCCCTGTCAGCTGCACCAGGAGAACTAGGCACCCTCCACATGGCTGAGCTGCCTCTCAAGGCCCTGGTCCTCCATCTCCTGACGAATCCTCCAGGCTCAAGTTTTCATTTTCCTCCAATAGTTTAATTTATGTATTTTTGAACAAGCAATATAGTCACATGGCCAATAATGAAGGAAGCACTGAAGTTGGGCCTGGCCAGGTAATTCAATGGGTTATAGTGCTGCCCCAGTGCACCAAGGTTGTGGATTTGATCCCCCGGTCAGGGCACATCCAAGAGTCAATCAATGAATTGGAACAGCACACCAATGTTTCTCTCTCTCTCTCTCTCTCTCTCTCTCTCTCTCTCCTTCCCTCTCTCCCTCTAACCATCAATTATTAAAAACACAAGACTTTTTCCTTAGAGGCACTCAAGTCTGCCCTCAGAAGCTCAGTCTTCCCCTGGAAGTGAGCAGTGTCCACACGCTGCTGTGAGCGTTGGTTGTTCACCTGAAGGACCTAGTAGGTCCTTTGCCATCAGAAAGACAGACATTACCCGCCCCCCCCCCCCATCTCTGTGACTGTGGAATTGTCCATGGCATGAAGGGACCTGGCTGTGTGCTCATCTTCACTAACGGAGAACAAGGGCATTAAGGGGTTGTCTGAATAATAGTCCCTTGTATGGATGTACCACATTCAGTTCTTCTGTTGATCAGTTGATGGACATTTGGGTGTTCCCAGTTTTTGGCGGTTATAATACTGCTGGGAACTTGATGTACGTTTTTTGTTCAGACATGTTTTCTGTTTTTTAGGTCATGTACCTGGGAGTGGAATTGCTGAGTCAAATGGTACTTTCTATGTATAACTTTCTGAGGAAATTCCGGACTGTATTCCACAGTGGCAGCATCAGTTTACATTCCCACCAGCAAAGTATAAGGCTTCCAATTTCTCCACACAATTGCCAACATGGGTATTTTCCTTTAAAAAAAATGATAGGCTACTAGTTGTTGTGAAAGGCTACTTCAACGTGGCTTTGATTTGCATTTCTGTGATAATTATTATGCCGCTTATTTTATCTTGGAATTATTGTTCATTTGTACATCACCTTTAAAGAACATTTTATATCGAGTCTCTGCCCATTGTTTAATCTGGTTCCTTGACTTTTTGTTGTTGAGTTCTAAGAGTTTGGCATATGGGCGGGTTATTATTGCTTATCGAATCTATAGCTAGCAAATGTTCTCTCCCATTAAGTGGGTTAGCTTTTCATTTTCCCCATCATGTCTGTTGATCATCAGAATGTTTCAATTTGATGAATTCCAATTTACACATTTCCAGTTCTGTCCAACTGCTGGGGATCAGGGCAGGGTCTAGGGCAGTGATGGCGAACCTATGACATGCATGTCAGAAGTGACACACAAACTCATTTTTTTGGTTGATTTTTCTTTGTTAAATGGGATTTAAATATATAAAATAAATATCAAAAATATAAGTCTTTGTTTTACTATGGTTGCAAATATACAAAAATTTCTATATGTGACACGGCACCAGAGTTAAGTTAGGGTTTTTCAAAATGCTGACACGCCGAGCTCAAAAGGTTCGCCATCACTGGCCTAGGGTGAGAGCCCAAGCGGTCCTGAATCCAGTGATGCAGGAACGCCTGAAGAATGATGTCCAGGGTCCTACTGGGAACAGGAGGACATGGGATTGCAGCCGAGCAGGGGGCTCCATCCTCGTCCCTCTTTCTTGCAGGATTATCAGGACCCAGGGTGGAGGTGGTGTTGGTGGCCATCGGGGAAGCCGCTGTCAAGATCCTGTTCCTCGTCCTCTGCCTCATCATCCTCATGTGAGCTCAGCTCAGGCGGGGAAGGGAGGCCTGGGGGCAGGAGGCTGAGTGCTGAACTGAGACCTTGGATCCCGATGGGTCAGGGGCAGGGCTGGAAGGAGGTGAAGGTGTGGTGAATCAGGACTACATAGAGACAGACCTGTTGAGTGTCCCATAAGCCAGGTCTCCAGGGTAGGAGGTACCTACAGTGATCAGGAGGTACCTGTGAAAGGCCAGGCACACCCTTTCCCACTTCAGTCTCCTCTCCAGGCCTTGAACAGGGAACAGGGGGTTGGATCTGCTGCCCACTGGACCTGATGCGATCAGACTGAAAGATCTGGTGTCTTCCCTCAGAGTCAGGTGCCACAGGAGGAAGGTCCTGAGGCCCCAAAGGAGCACAGAGGATGCACACACAGTCTCAGGTTAATCCCTCAGGTGAGTGGTGCAGGTGTTTCACCACCCAACACCCACTGAAACCTTTCACACATCTGCCCATCAGCATTGATAAAATGGAGCTGTCACCTTCCTCCCCAAACCCACTTCTCTGCTGGGCTTCCCATCACAGTGATGACATGGTGGCCCCCTTCTCTAAGACCATCCCATTCTCTCTAATCCACTAAGACTTGTCCATCCTTCTTCCCAATCACAGCCTATATTGATGGTCTTCTCCTGCCCATCATGCTGGGATTGTTCCTGTGGCTTCATCTCTTCCCTGGGTCCCTGAACCCACCAGCTACCTGCTTCCAGATTGTGTATCCAGAGACACATGGTCCACTTCCTGCACAGTGTGAACATGATGCTTCCTCTCCATGGCCAGAGATGAGGTGCAACCACACAGGCTGGACTTGAGGGCTCAGCGTGGTCTGTCTCCTGCTTGAGTCTCCACTAGATTCTATTATCTCCCTTCATCTCACATCATCTCCACATCTGGCTGGGCCAGGGCCTTTGTGGCTCTTAGACTTTGCATGTGCAGTTCCTTCGGCTTAAATACCCTTCCCTCCCCATCCCTACATCTCCAACTGATGATCATACTTCGAACTTAGTTAATAGTCATCCAATTGAACATGTGTGTGATGTGTGTGTGTGTGTGATTCTTGTATGGATTTGAATGAAATCATATTTAGTCATTTATATACAGACACTTTAGAAAGTATAACTGAACACCTACTATGTGCCGGCATTGTTGTAGGTAATGGGGATGCAGCCATGAACCTGGCATGAAAAATCTGTGTCATCCAGAAGCTGTCATTCTGGAGACAAGAGGATAAATTAAAAAGAAATTTAAAAATTATTACAGCTTATTGGATGGTGATATGTGTTTGAGGAGGAATCATACAAGGAAAGATCAGGTGACATGGAGGGACAATTCCAACATCTGAGAGTATGAACTGTGATTCTGAGCCTAGACTTGATGCTGGTGAGAGAGCAGACTGTGTTTTGCCCTAAAGGAGATTAGCTGGGAAGATGGGGAGCAGTGTCCCAGCTCTGACGCAGAAGCAGCCTTTGTGTGATGGATACAAGACTCTGGCATAACAGTCCAGGGGCTCCTGGAAGGGTAGACCCCTGGAGGGAGGTGCAGACCCAATGGTGTGCAGCCTAGTGAAAGCTTGCAGCAAATGCAGGAACTGGGAAGCCACTGAGGGAATCAGAGATATGGTTGAACATTCTTTGTAAAAGATTCTCATGGGGGCTCTTTTCAGAATAGACTAGTGTGTCCATAGCAGCCAAACAGAATGGGAAGGACACAGAAGGCAAGGAGGGATGGTGGCTGAACCAGGGAAGTGAGGTGGAGAGTGAGGTTTAATTTCTGGATATACATTGAAGTTCCAGTTGACTTGGGGACTGAAAGTCTAGAGCAATGGTGGTGCCCAAGTGTCTCCCCTGAGCATCAGAAAATGTGTATTTGATGGACACAGAGAGGAGGGTTTGAGGGTGATGTTCATTCTGAGAAGACACTTCATATCCAACAGCGGCTGTCAGTGAGAGAGCTGGTGTGAAGGTCTGGAGATCAGGAGAGGGGTCCAGATGGGAGATGTGAACATGGATAGTCAGTGTGAGATGATGACAACAGATGAGGGAGGAAAAGGACTGATGGCATATAGAGAAGAGAAGACACAAAGAAACACATTGTTGTTGGAGATCCTGACAACAGGGAATTCAATGGTTGGTGGAAAAGTTGTGAATTTATGATTGGAGCAACTGCAGGAGAGAATTGGAGGAGGGGATATGGGAATAGTGAGTCCAGACAACCCTTTGTGAAAATTGGCTGCAAAGAGGAACAAAGGGATGAGTCTGGTGAAGATCTTTTCTCTACTCCTCCTCTGCGTCCTCCCAGAGGTGCTCCATGAATTGCCACTTGTATTTGTTTCCTGGGGCCATTGTGACAAACTCCCACACACTCTGTGTCTTTAAAAAATGGAAATTTAGTTTCTTAGTTCTTGAGACCAGAAATACATGTAGGGAGTAAAAATATCTTCTCCCTCTGCCCTTCTAAACTGTTGATGGAGACCTCAGAAACAAAGAAAGATTGGGTGCCACATCTTGGGGAAACATGTCCTACACCCCATCGTGTGTAATGAGTTCTATTGTGTAGAAATCCGGTTGTTGGTTGGGATGTACTCCCTCCAGAGGATCAAGGAGAGAACCTGTCTCTTGCTTCTTCCAGTTAATACAGCTGCCGGCTGTCCTTGGTGTGTGGCTGCATCACTGAGACCTATCTCCTGGTCACATGGCCTCATCCTGCTCTGCCTGTAGAGAGTCACCTGCTACTTCTATCTTGGGGACTCGTGACTGCATTCGGGGATCAACCCTAATAATCTACGATGTTCTTCATGTGAATATCCTTACCTTAATTCCATCAGCAAAGTCCCCTTTTCCATTACATGGGAACATTTTGGGGTACCAGGGATTAAGAACTGGATATCTCTGGGCGGCCATCATTCAGCCCTCTGCACTGCCCATGTGACCTTTTGCAATCCTGGAATGTCTCCAGGCCATGTTTGCTCTGCTCTTCCATGTTCCGATACATTAGTGGGTCACCTCATGAGTGACCCATATTTTAGGGAGCAGGAGCTTGCTGTTCTGTGAAAGTTACTTCAAAGAGAGCTAAAGGAGCTAGGCTGGTATAGATCAGTGGTTGAGTGTCGACCCAGGAACCAAAAAGTCTCTGGTTTGATTCCTGGTCAGGACACATGCCAGGGTTGTGGGGGTCTATCCTCAGTAGGGGGCATGAGGAGGCATGCCCAGCGATGATGTTTCTTTCTCATCATTGTTTCTATCTCTCTCTCCCTTTCATTTCCTCTCTGAAATCAATCAAATAAAATAAAAACAAGAAATAACAAGACTTGGAGCCGATATGAAAAAAATGAAACTCTTGGGCTTTGCTCTACATTCCAAGGTTCTGTATCTGCTTTTAAATACAGTGTGGCAGTTCCTCAAAACATTAAAAATAGAATTACCATAAGAACCAGTCATTTTCACTTCTGGGTACTTACACAAAGGATTGAAAGCAGGAACTTTAATGGATATTTATACATCTTGTTCAAAGTAGCATTATTCACCATTAGGTGAAAATAGCCGAAGGGCCCATCAACCCAAAACAGATAAACACAATGTGGTGTACACATACAAGGAAATGTTATTCTTCCTCAAAAAGGAAGTGAATTCTGACTCATGCTACAATGTGGGTTGAGGATACTAAGCTAAGTGTAGCAAGTCAATCACAAAAGGACAAATACTGTGTGATACAACTTTTATAAAGTACTTAGACTAGTGAATTCATAGACATAGATGGTAGAATGGTGGTTGCCAGCATCTGGGGGGATGGAGAGCTGTACTTTTCATGGGCACAGAGAGTCAGTTTGGGAAAAATGACAAAAGATCTAGAGATGGATGGTGGTGATGGTCCCACAACAATGTGAATGTCCTTAATGCCACTGACCCAGACAATTAGAAATGTTTTGTTAAGTTTGTGTTACCACAGTTTTATAAAAAAAAAAATAGCCGAAAAAATAACCTGCCATTTCACCTAATAAGAAAAATAGTGGTAGCTACCCACATGAGAACAAGCTTCACATCACTTGTTATTAGAAAATTACAGGTTAAAACCAGGATGAGATACAATGGAATACCACTGAGTAATAATAGATTAAAGAGAACACATATGTAGAACTTGGATCAATTTCACACATATTATGTTGAGTGAGAGAATATAGACACAAATCAGTACTTTATAGGAATTCTCCTATAGACAGAATTAATTCTCCATGATTGACGGTGAATCAGGGGCTGGAGGTGGCAGTGATGAACTACAAAGACGTGGGGGAAAGTGTCGGTGGTAGTGGGAATGCTCTATATTTTGATTGTGGATCAATCCCATTTGTTCAAATTCATAGAAATGCATACACAAGTGGCTACATTTTATTTTATGTAAATTATGAAGTTATTAAAAGAAATACAATTAGAACTCACAGAATTCTCCCTTCCATGAAAATGGTATAACTTTCTTTATAATACACAGCACTTGTAATGGGTTTTCTATTATATTCTTATATGTTTTTTTTAACAGCCTAGAACAAGGTATCATTTTACTTACTGGAGATTCAATATCTTTTTCTTATTTTTTATTTAGATTTGAGAGAGAAAAGGTAAGTATGAGAGAGAGAGAGAGAGAGAGAGAGAGAGAGAAACATCGATTTGTTGTTCCACTTTTTATGCATTTATTGATTGCTTCTTGAAGACTCACGTCTCATCCTCAGATGTCCTCAAAGGGCCTGGCCCTGCTCTGGTGCTGAAGGGAAGCTCCTGAGTTGGGACAGGACACAGAGGCAGGGCTTGTGTCCCGACCTGGGATCTAACCCACAACTTTGGTGTATCAGGAAGACCTCTAAACAACCGAGCTCCCCAGCCAGGACAAAACTCAATTTCTTATCCACCAAATGAGGGCACAAAAGTCTCTCTGTATTAGTAAGACTGAAGGCTCATCTATCTAGATCAGTGGTTCTCAGCCTTCCTAATGCCACCACCCTTTAATACAGTTCCTCATGTTGTGGTGAACTCCAACCATAAAATTATTTTCTTTGCTAATTCATAACTGTAATTTTGCTATTGTTATGAATCATAATGTAAATATCTGATATGCAGGATGTATTTTTATTGTTACAAATTGAACCTAATTAAAGCATAGTGATTAATCACAAAAACAATATGTAATTATATATGTGTTTTCTGATGGTCTTAGGTGACCCCTGTGAAAGGGTCATTCGACCCCCAAAGGGGTCGCGAACCACAGGTTGAGAACTGCTTATCTAGATACTACTGTGTTAGAAGGATTTTACAAATATCTAGTGGCAAATGCTTTTATGTCACGGGGTCAAGACTTTGCCAGATGCATATCCACAACACAGATGGAAAACTAATGAGCTGAACCTAAATTTTAATTGTAGCTGCATATTCCACTCATGTTTCCTAGAAATATTATGTTCTTGGAACCACATTTTACTGTGAGAAGCATATTTTTGATCAACCTTACATATTTTTATTTTATGTAGAAATCAGAGCCCTTATAATCCAACTTAGAATTTGAGGTGCCTTACAATTTTATAGCACTAATAAGGTAGCCATATTTTAAGACAAAACAAAAATAGCATAGGAAAAAAGAAATCATTCTACCAGACAGATAGAATAACACTGTTTCTGAAATTAAGTCTAGATATATCCCTGAGAATCCCAGCAGTCAATGCAAAAAGGAAATTGTGAACTCTAGCTGACACAAGAAAGCATGTACTTTATTTATTTGAAAGGCAAATATCGTCTTACTCCTAAAGCTCGGGAGAAACATACTCCATCTGGAAAGAACTTTGCAAATATAAGGGAAATGTTTGAGCTCATTGTTCATCCACAACTGTGCAGCGCTTTTCTATGACAGGAAATGCTCATCTGCGTGATGAGGAACTGAGACAGTCTCTCCCGTTAACACACTCTGAGTGACAGGAATCGTAGAGAAGAGTTTCCTGCCCTGGCATCAGGGAACCTGTGGTCTCCCTTTGTGTTACATGAAGATGTGACACGGTTTTCACTTTGGAGATGCCATCATTGAAACACGGCAAATTACAATAAGATGTAAAATAGGAACCCGCACTTGTGTTTTTACGAAATACCCAGCATGCCACCAGGACATGTGGTAGACTGATGAGTGACCGCAGATCTAAAGCCAACCCAACAACACTGTGTTTGGGAGGAAGTGATGTCACTGGGTGGGGAGCATCTCAGGGACATAGACCAAGTCCATGGATCTGTTCTTGTCTTGTCTTCAGTCAACCAACACGTAGATGTTCACTAAGTGTTTTATGAATGAATGAATGAATGCTGCCTTCATTTCACTTGGGACCCCCTTCTTTCCTTCTGCCCTAAATTCTCACATGGACATTACAGACTCCTACGCCTTGTAGGACCGACCACAGCTTCTAGATGAGGCTGGCACCTCCAGTCAAGGCAGGAGTGAACCAGCTCTCTGATTTAGACACCAGAGCTCAGAAAAGCCCCCAACGGGAGGCTCTTAGGAGAATCCAGTGTCCCCTCCCCGGATGTCCCCTCTTCAGAGGTCCTGGTTCTGCTCTGGAGCTGCAGGGAAGACCCAAAATTGGACAGGACATGGAGTCAGCTTTCTGTCTGTCCTTCTCTGGGAGGGTGTCCTGGGTCTCTCAGCTGTGGGGTGCCTGCCTGCTCTGTGCAGAGAGGGGAAGCGCTTGGGCTCTGAGGTTCCTCTTTTGTGAACAGCCGAGATCTCGTGCTCCTCCCCAGCTTCCGTGGTCTCACCACGGTCCCCCCACCCACCGTCTTCATTCTTTTTTCACCCACAGGAGCCCAGAAACTCTACATGTCAGAGATGCTGTGGCTGCTGCCCCTGCTGTGGGCAGGTGAGCACTTGAAGGGAGAGGGGGGAGTGAGGAGGGGCTGCAGCTGACCCTCCTTTTCCTGCAGGGTCCCTGGCTCAGCATAGTGGATACACGGTGAGAGTGCAGACACCTGTTACAGTGCAAGAGGGCCTGTGCGTGTTTGTGCCCTGTACCTTCATCTACCCGGGGAGCTCCTGGAATAATCCTCTCCCTGCATATGGCTACTGGTTCCAGGAAGGAGCTAATGAATTCCACGATGCTGCTGTGGTCACAAACAACCCGGCTCGTAACGTGCAGGAGGAGACCCAGGGCCGATTCCACCTCCTCGGGGATCCCAGGACCAAGAACTGCTCCCTGGACATCAGAGACGCCAGGAGGACCGATGATGGAGTTTACTTTTTTCGGGCTGAGGCAAAATATTCTGGTATATATTCTTACAAATGGAACACGCTCTCCGTGACAGTGACAGGTATGGAACAGACTCCAGGAGAGGCCACAGGAGAGGTTATGGTGGCTCCTGGTAGGGCTGGAATGGGACCCCCATCCTGGAAGAAGGTCGGGGTACAGCCTGTTGGGCTGAGAGGCAGGAGCTGAACCAGAGCTGAGGCTTCTCTCAGGGCCACAATTGGAGTCCTCCCTCCTGATCCCCTGTCTCCCCCTCCCACCAGCCCTCAACCACACACCCAACATCCTCATCCCGGAGACCCTGGAGAGCGGCCTCCCCAAGAACCTGACCTGCTCTGTGCCCTGGGGCTGTGAGCGGGGCACACCCCCCATCTTCTCCTGGACGTCAGCTGCCCACAGCTCCCTGGGCCCCAGGACCCGTCTCTCCTCCGTGCTCACCCTCACCCCACGGCCCCAGGACCATGGCACCAACCTCACCTGTCAGGTGCATTTTCCTGCCGTTGGTGTGACCGTGGAGACAACCATCCAGCTCAACGTCACCTGTGAGTGCTGGGTCGGAACAGCAGGTCCCTGAGGGTGTGCAGAGCAGGAGGGCCAGGCAGGTGTGATCGGTGCTTTTGTCCTGGAGGCCAGGCTGTGTAGGGGACCTAGAGCACAAAGCCCTGTCCCTCTTGCATTTCTGTGGTCTCTGAGGGTGGAGGGGGAATGCCTAAATGATCCTTACTCCATCTCAGCCCACTGAAGAAGGAATTTCTTTCTTCCTGTCCTAGGTGCCACACAGAACCCAACACCAGGTGGTTGCCTAGGAGACAGTGCAGGTGGGAAGGAGCCTTCTGTCCTGGGGCATTGACTGACGTGTGTCTCTGTCTGGGTGATTCAGAACTGGACTTCAGAGTTCAGCAGGGAGGTGTGGGTGCAGTTAAATGTGAGCACCCCTATCTGACCTCTTCCCCAATACCCTCCAACTGCTGTCTGACCAGATTGACCACAACCTTCTCCCTGCCCATCCTAACAGATGCTCTTTATCTTCCCCCAGTTACAAATGTTTGGGGCATTTTAGAGTAGACTTTAGTTTTAAGAGCAGTTATAAATTAACAGCAATATTGAGCAGGAGACAGAAGGCAGAGAGATTTCCCCTAACCCTGTCGAACCCTCCCTCACATGCACATCCCCCACCAGAGGGGACATTTGTACAATCAATGAACCGACACTGACACATCATTGTCAACCAAAACTCATAATTATGGTTTACTCTTGGTGTTGTACACTCGATGGGCTTAGACATTGTATCATGACATGTGTATACCATTATAGTGTCATGTAGAGCAGTTTCACTTCTCTGAAAATCTCTATTTCTTGCCTGCCCTCCCCTTGGCCCTCACCTTGACCTGTCTCTGGAGCCCTATCCTCCTCCTGACCTTTTCCCATTGGTGATGACATCTGGTCCCCACCCTGACTGGTCAGTAACCCTGTTAGGACTCTCTCAGCAGTTCCATCAGACTGTAACAGGTGATGCTCAGAGACACATCCCTGACCCCAAGGCTCCTGGGAGGCATGGCCAGATGAGACTAGGAAAGATGTCTGGGTCTCGCCTGAAGGTCTGAGAACCTCCTGGATTTCACCTTCTTTTGGAGGCACAAAACACCACCTTTGACCCTGAGCAACAGGGCCAGTGGAGGCCAGGAGAGAAGATTCTGACACCTTCCCAGGAAGGAAAAAGAGAGGTCTTTCGGCAACCCACAGCACTCTGTGTGTGTCTCTCTCTGGAGTGCCCATGGGACACTGAGGCTCAAGGTCCTGCTGCAGCCAGGTCTGGGGTCTGTGGCAGAGAAACCGTAGATGGAGAAGATCCCAGGTCCTAGAATAGATGAGGTTTGCTTCACAGGAGTGTGGGGACTGGATATGAGATGTCATGTAGACCGTGTCCTTCACCCCATGGTTCTGGAGGACCTACTTGCTCAGCCCTGGATGGGAGGAGAGGGTAACCCATCTCTTCATGCTTGAGAAGAGTGGATACATGCCTGCTCATCAAGTTTGGAGTTCACCCATATCTCTCTTGTCTGCAGGGGAACCGAGGACGAAGGCAGACGTGGTTCGGGCGGCTGTTGGGGGAGCCGGTGTCACTGCACTGCTGGCTGGCTGTCTCTGCCTCATCTATTTTGTGTGAGATGGGACAGGTGTAGGCCAGAGGTTGAGAATAGGGACCTGGAGGGGTTGTGAGGGCCCAGAGCAAGGGTAAGGGGTGCCGTGGTGGTGAGAATGCAGCCCATAGCCACTGAGCCAGGCTTGAATCAGGAGGTGTGGGGGAAAACCTTGTTCCAAAGTCTTGTTATAAGACACTGGGGGGTAGGGGAGGCCAGGGGATTGTCAAGGGCGGGGAAAAAAAAAAGGAGACATATGTAATACTCTCTGTAATAATTTAAGCAATAAAAAAATTAAAAAAAATTAAAAAAAACAAAAAACAAAGTCTTGTTATGAAGGCTCCTGGTCTTGCCCCACTCTTGACCTTCCCTAGTCACTCACTCCAGCCTCAAAGAGTGACCATGTGTCAAAGACCCTGATGTCTCCCAACAGAGTGAAGACCCGCAGGAAGAAAGCCAGGACAGCAATGGGCATGGACAACATCCACACTGCCATGGAGCCAGCTTCCCTGGTGAGTAACATGGACATGCTGGCATGCAACCCTGTCCCCACTTCCTGGGTGGCCCACATTTGCGTTCCATTCAGCGTGTCCAGAAAGGAGCTCTTCACCTTTCCACTCCTTTGGAAAATGTAGGTTTTATTATTTTTCAGGTATGTCAGGCCAACAGATCAGGAGACACCTTGTTGATTTGTTCCTCACAGTTCCCAAGAGGGGAAAACGTCACACCACAGAGCCACACAGGGCAGCACCAGGGTCGGTCAGGAGGCAGAGGGAGTGAAGGAGAAAATGTGGGCAGGAACCTTGATGGTGGTTTCCATGGGGAAGGTGAGGTGAGGCAGGGGAAGCAGGCTTAGGACTAGCTAGTTTGAATAATTTCAACAGGCTCTGGGCTGTAGGGACTGTCTCTCATTGTCTGGTCCCTGGTTCTGGTGTGATCAGGGCAGGAGGGGACTGGTCAGAAGTGTAAGAGTTCCATAAAGGAGATGGTTGGAGGCATGGAGTTTGGAATGGACTGGTTGGTTTGCAATATGAAAGTCATACTTAGAGGCAAGTCCTTTACTATCTCTAGAAATTAGCTAGTCCTGACAGGGACAGTTTCTCTAGGGTTATCAAAGCCCCAGATGTCAAAACATGAAATGCACATGGTTAATACACCCCCAAAATATACTTCTGCTGGGCTCTCCATATCACCAATGCTATTCTTTTTTAAAAAATATATTTTATTGATTTTTTACAGAGAGGAAGGGGGAGGGATAGAGAGTTAGAAACATGGATGAGAGAGAAACATCGATCAGCTGCCTCCTGCACACCTACTACTGGGGATGTGACCACAACCAAGGTACATGCCCTTGACCGGAATCAAACCTGGGATCTTTCAGTCCACAGGCTGACGCTCTATCCACTGAGCCAAACCGGTTAGGACACCAATGCTATTCTTGTCCCTGACACCCAACCAGAGACCCGACCCTGTCCCGCCCAGTCCTCCACCAGCTCTTTCTGCACTAATAAACTGCAAAGCATGTCTGCTGCAGCCCTCCCCTCTCTCCTCCCCAGCACTGCCCCATCACACCCAAGTCTGAAATGCACTGGTTCTCCACACTGCCGAGCACCCAGACAACTTGGTCTGGCATTTGAGCCAGGAAAACCAGTCACCTTCCATGCTTTGTGCCCTCTACACTTACCTGCTCATTCGCCTCCAGCAAAGTAAGCCTTTTGCATCTCAGAATCATCGCTCAGCTGTCCCCTCCTTTTCACATGCCTGCCTCAACCCACCCTGCTCCTGCTCATCCTCCAAGTTCTGACTCTCATCAAACTCTAACTTATGTGGATACCACTGTGAGGTTTTTGAGCACATGATCAGCCATCACCCATGCATTTATCTTTCGCTTCGGCCAGTATCTCCCACTTGTCAATATCTGTATTTTTATAAATTATTACATTACAAATGTAAAATGTCCCTTCCGAGCTTGCAGATGACCACCTTCTTGCTCTCTCTTGGCCTTTTCTCTGTGCTCATGTATTCCTGGCCTCTCTTCTTTTTATGAAGACTCAAGTCATGTTGGGTCCTACTCTAATGACCCCATTTAAAAAATTACATACCCCGTTAAAGGCCCTATCACCAAATATAGTCACATTGGTAGTTACAGCTTCAACATATGAATTTGACAGTTTGGTCCATAAAACAGACTTAGGGCATCAGTGATGAATCTGGTGTGAAACAGTTGGGGTCTGGATACATTTTGCAGGTGGGGTCAACAGGATTTGCCAATAGAATGATAGGGTACACTTGGGTGTGAGCTCACTGCCTGTACCTCATAGGTGTCATAGATGTCAAGGAGGACTCCATAGATGTCATAGATGTCCAGTGATGTCATAGAGGTCTATCTATAGTCATAGATGCTCTTAAATGCTTATAGATGTCAAAGATAACTCTATGGATATTACAGATGTCCAGGAATGTCATAGATATTCAAAGGTGGTCAGTGATGTCCATTGATTGTCATGGATATATTCATGGATGTCACAGATGTCCAACAATGTCATAAGGGTCCATAGATGTCCACAAATATCCATAGATACCAAGGATGACTCTAATGTGGTTGCCCTGAGCAACTTAAAGAATTGAAGTACCAATTCTTGAAATTGCCAACCCTGCAGGAAAGGTATGTTTTTGAGAGGCGATCAAACTTTATTTTGGTTACGGTAAGTTTGAGGCACTTCTGAGATGTTTATGTGAAGATGACAAGTAGATGGCCAGAGTCTGGAGTTCAGGAGAGGGGTCCAGGTGGGAGGCACAGAGACTTGTGGGTCTTCTACATCAAGGTCTGATAGTGGATGAAGCCACAAAGAAGAGAAGGGGTCTGCGGACAGAGCCCTGGGGCCCTCCAGCACATAGAGTAGGGGGAGGTGTGGTGAAAAGAGCAAACAGTCCACTGAAGAAAAATAATTCACCAGGAGAGTGTAGAGTTGGGTCCTGGTGGCCAAATGGGGATGGAACTTCAAGGGTGAGAGAGTCCTCACCTTTTTTCAAATGCTAATAAGTCTGGTAAAATAGGGTCTGAGAAATGACCGTTTAAGTCAGTGGTTCCCAACCTTTTTTTGGCCATGCCCCACCTAAGCACCTCTAAAATCCTGATGCCCATCCACCCCCGTGACATAGAATTCTTATTATTCAAAAAGTGAACTCCTATTCACGTGGAGGAAGCCTAAAAGGCCATTAAGTGGTCTAAACAAGCTTCCAAAGAACATGGCATCCATGAAAAAGAAAAAGAAAAGAATGAAAGGGCAGTTGAAGTACTAAGGAAGAAATCACTAAGAAATTGTTTTAAAAAATAACAGTAATATGAAGTGATTTAAAAAATAGCAAAGTTTCAAAACATACAATAGAGAACTGAAATGCATAAATACATCACAATATATATTTATATACTGTATATGAGGCCCTTAGAACCATAAGAAATGCAAAAATTTCACTGTTGATAATTCATTCTCCAATTGCCCCCCTTAAAGATCTAATTTCCCCCCTGTGGGTCATGTGCCCCATGTTGGGAACCACTGGTTTAAACTTAGTAAGTGGCATCAGAAATGATCTGGACAAAGGCAGATCTGGTGGCCTTACACAGGCAGATATCTTAATTGGCTTGAGTTCAAGAGAGAATGGAGGAAGAGGAAGTGAAAAGCCTCGTTTGAGAAATGTTGCAGTAACTCTGGAGCCAAGGAATGAGTCTATAGCAGAAAATGGCTGTACTCCTCAGTCCCTTGGAATTTCCGGAGTGATAGGAGAGTCTTTTTTTTTTCTAATGAGGCAACATTTTTGTTGTTGTTGTTAATCCTTACCTGAGGATATTTTCTCCATTGGTTTTTTAGAAAGAGTGGAAAGGAGGGAGGGCGGGGGTGTGGGAAAGAGAGAGGGAGAAAGAGAGAGAGAGAAACAGAAACATCGATGTGAGAGAGACACATTGATTGATTGCCTCCCATAGGTGCCAGACTGGGGCCAGGAATCAAACCTGCAACCCAGGTACCTGCCCTTGACCAGGAATTCAACCCATGACCCTTTAGTGCACAGGCTGGCACTCTAACCACTGAGCCCACCAGCCAGGGTGTAATGAGGCAACTCTTCTGGATTCCTGGATGGGGGCTGGTCAACAGAAAGACTGAGCTATAATTAGAAGCTTAGACATTTAAGCTCCATCCTCCATTCTCCAGAGAGAGGAGAGGGGCTGGAAATGGAATTAATTATTGATCATGTCTACATGATGAAACCTCCATGAAAATGCTGAGTATGGGGCTGAGGGAGATTTCAAGTTGGTGCACTTGGCGAGACATAGAAGCTCCTTGTCCTTCCCTCATACCTGGGCCCATGCATCTCTTCATCAAATGCTCATCTGTATCCTGTATCATATCCTTCCATAACAACCTGCTCTATGGCTAGTTTCCCTGAATCCTGTGAGTCACTCTAGCAAATTAATTGAACTTGAGGAGGGAATCATAGAGACCTCTGATTTATAACCAGTTGGTCAGAAGCACAGGTGGCAACCTGGACTTGTGATTGGCATCTGAAGTGGCAGTGGGGGCGGGGGATCTTGTGGGACTGAGCCTTTAACCTGTGCGATCTGACAATATCTTCAGGTAGATGGTGTCAGACTGAGTCCAGTTGTAGGATGTCCAGCTGGTGTCAGAGAATTGCTTGGTGAAAGTGTAAAGGAGATCCCTGTCTGGGTGGCTCAGTTGGTTAGAGTATCATCTCATAAACCAAAAGGTTGCAGGTTAGATGCCTGGGTAGGGTACATACGGGAGGCAAGTGATCAATGTTTCTCTCTCACATCGATGTTTCTCTCTGCCTTCCTCACTTTCTATGAATCAATAAAAACATATCCTTGGGGGAGGATTTTTTTTAAAAAGGGAATAAAGGAGAGACACACAGGAGGAGAAGTTCTTTTTCATAAACATCCAGTGTTTGGCACATAGGAGAGCTCTGAGAGACCAGGGGTTGAGTTCCTGACCAGTAGATGTGTGCTCTTGAGAAGTACCTAAGTTCTCTGAGACTTACTGTCTTTCTTTGTAAAATAATAGTATTTTCCACAAAGGTCTGTGAGAGTGGTCACTAGAATTGGAAAGCAACCAATAAGAGCTATCTTTGTTGGATAAGTGATTAAATGGGACCTTGAGAAATATGCAATAAAAGAATGAAAGAATGATCTGACGGATATTTCTCAGGGGTTAGAGTGTCAGGCCATGCACAGAAGGATTGTGGATTCAATTTCTTGTCAAGGGCACGTACCTGGGTTGTAGGTTCCATCTCCGCCACATTCTGGGTGCATGCAGGAGGCAACCAATAGATATGTCTCTCTCACATCGATGTTTCTCTCTCTCTCTCTCTCTCTCTCTCTCTCTCTCTCTCTCTCCCTCCCTCTCCCTCTCCACTCCCGCCCTCTCTAAAAATCAATGGAAAAAGATATCCTCAGGTGAGGATTAACAAAAAATAAATTTTATAAATGTATTTTTGAAAAATGGAAGAATGCCAAAACCGGTTTGGCTCAGTGGATAGAGTGTCAGCCTGCGGACTGAAGGGTCCCAGGTTCGATTCCGGTCAAGGGCATGTACCTGGGTGGCCGGCACATCCCCAGTGGGAAGTGTGCAGGAGGCAGCTGATCGATGTTTCTCTCTCATCAATGTTTCTAACTATCCCTCTCCCTTCCTCTCTGTAAAAAATCAATAAAATATATTTTTTTTAAAAATGGAAGAATGAACAAAGATCCTATTACAATCAAATTCATTGCAAGAACTCCTCCCCCTGTCCCCACCTTGCTCTGACCTTGCTGTTCTTTGCTCTCCACACAGGGTCACCAGAAGACACCAGAGTTAGACAGCCCCGTGTCTGACTCCACTAGCTCTGCAGGGGCCGCCCCGACCTTGAGGGTGGAGCCAGAGGTGTACTATGCCTCCCTCCGCTTTCAGGGGAAGAATCCTCCTCAGACAAGCACTGAACCAGAATACTCAAATGTCAGGACCCAGTGAGAGGCCGAAATGCCCATATCCCTCTAGGAGGAAGGGGGACCTACCAGCTGACTTTTGGAGAGCTCACATCCCCACAGGCAGTGGGTTTATAAACTACTGTATATACCTTTCATGGTATGTTGGAACTATCTTAGGCATTGCAATCAGAGAGACCTAGGAGGAAGTTCATGCTCTTTTCATCGATTAAGAAGAATATGACACCACCTGAACCACCTTACTCCTCCGGGACTTGATTTCCTGATTTGTGATCAGGCGTAAGAAGTTCTACATCGCAGGGTTGCTATGAGCATTAAATAAAAGTACGCATGGAACCTGGCCGGCAGCTCAGTTGGTTAGAGTGTTGTCCTGTTACACCAAGGCTGTGGGTTTGAGCCTCAGTCAGGGCACACACAACAATCAATCAATGGCACCGGCTGGTGTGGCTCCATTGGTTGAGTGCGTTCCGTTCACCGAAAGGTTGCCGGTTTGATTCCATGCCCAGGATTCTGGCTCCATTCCCAGTAGGGGCCGTGCAGGAGGCAGCTGATCAAAGCCCTGCTCTCACATCCATTTTTCTCTTTCTCTATCCGTCTCCATTCCTCTCTGTCTTTCAAAGAAAAAAATCAATGAAAATATTTTTAAAAGAAGAACCAACCAATGAATGCATAAGTGGAAAAACAAATCGATGTCTCTCTCTCTCAAATCAATCAATAAAATTTTTTTAAATACATATGGTGCCTGGCTGGTGTGGTTCAGTGATTGAGTGTGGACTTATGTACCAGGAGGTCATGGTTCAATTCCTGGTCAGGGCATATGTCTGGGTTGTGGGCTCAATTCTCTCTCATCATTGATGTTTCTCTCTTTCCTTCTTCCTTCCTCTCTGAAATCAATTTAAAAAGATATTTTTTCTTTTTTTAAAGAATTCTTCATTGTTGAAAGTCTTACATATGTCCCCTTTATTCCCCCATTGACCCCTTCCATCCCACCCCCGCCCCCCACCCCCACCCAAGACCTTTAGCACCTTATTGTCTGTGTCCATGGGTCATGCATTTATGCATACAAGTTCTTTGGTTGATTACCTCCCACCCACACACTCTCCCTCGCCTTCTCTCTGAGAATCCTCACTCTGTTCCATGCTTCCATGTCTCTGGATCCACTCTATTCATCAGTTTATTTTGCTTCGGGCAAAATCACTTACTAACACTTATAGAATTTCCTAAAACTCAGAGTCAAGACACTGCCCTATCTCCGCAGCCAAAAAGAACCATTGACAAGCCTCTCAATTTGACATTCATGAATCAGGGAAAAAACTTTGTAAGGGGACGGAGAGCAAATATGTTAGGCTTTGCAAGCTGTGTGGTTTTTGTTGCAACTAGGCATCTCTGCAGTGCAAACACAGCCATAGGCAATCTGAAAAGCAATTAATGTGGCTGTGTCTCAACAAAATTTTATTTACAAAAGTAGGCAGCCCCCCTTGGCTATAGTCTCTGACCTCTGCTCTAAGTTATTCTTTTTTTAAAAAAAAATCCTCATCAAGGATATGCTTATTTGATTTTGAGAGAGAGCAAGAGAGAGCAAGAGAGAGGTGAAAGAGAAACATCAATTGGTCGCCTCCTGCATATACCCTTATTGGGGATGGAACCCACAACCTAGGTATGTGCCCTGACCAGGAATCAAACTTGTCACCTTTTAGTGTACAGGACAATGCTCCAACCAACTGAGCCACCCAGCCAGGGCTGTTCTAAGTTATTCTTAATCTCATGCAGTCCACTTTTCCATCACCATAGCCTAAGTCATCAACCCCTCAAGCCATTCTCTGAGAACCCTTGTTCTGGTGCGTTCCTCACTGTCTTTGAGCATCCACACCCCTCCTCCAGGAACACACCTCACCAAATCATCATGTGGGTAACACCCTCTTATCCTTCAAAATGGGCTCAAAAATATGTGTCTGGGTTGAAAAAAAATGAAGGAAAAAGCCGGAGCTCATAATCTTCCTCCTGAAAATAAACCAATATTTGAACTTAAAAATAGTTTAAACAAAAACAGCCCAGAATTTACTTGCAGCTCCAGACAAAGTCACAGTGGCGGGGGCCAAAGCAGAGGTGGCTAGGGGCAATCAGGCTGGCAGGGGAGAGACAGTAAGGGGTGATAATTCCAGCAGGGGAGAGACAGTTAGGGGTGATCAGGCCAGCAGGGGAGAGTCAAATAGGGGTGATCAGGCCAGCAGGGGAGCAGTTAGGGGCATCAGGCAGGCAGGGAGAGTGGTTAGGGTTGATCAGGCAGGCAGGCAGGTGAGTGGTTAGGAGCCAGCAGTCCCAGATTTTGAGAGGGATCCCGGATTGGAGAGGGTGCAGGCCGGGCTGAGGGACCCCCCCACCCCATGGATGAATTTCATACACTGGGCCTCTATCTAGTATGTTCATAAAGTGACCCCTAAGGAAACAGATATGGTATAAGAAAACGCCTGAACCCTTCTGCCCTAGACCCAGAAGGAACAGCTGAGTCAGCCTTCTGTTCATCATAGTGTCATTATAACAATACAGATCAACCCATCTGCTGAAAACATGAAACATTGATGCTTAAACTTCCAATCCAGAGAGGATGGCATGGACCCATTGTCCCCGGCTCCTCCCCTCTACTCACAGCTATAAACCCCTTGAATGGTGCAAGAGACAACCCATGGAGAGTTCTGGAAAGTGGTAAGAAGACAGCAAATTGGTCGAGAGCAATACAGAGGCAGGGCACCTCAGTCGCTGGTCCAACAGAGAACAGACACTCAGACCCGTGGTTTCCCACATCCTGACTCAGAATCAAAAGGCAGCCAGGTAGCCTCATTCCTCTCCAAGTCCCTCTGACACTGTCAGGTGAGTCCAGCAAGAGGTATCAATCAGAGCCAAGAAATAAGTATCCAGAAAGTGATTCCCTTCCCCATCAGACCTGAGACTACCCTCCCCTGCCCAGAAGCACGAGGGTGGGTGGACAGAACTGGAGAAGGGATCCAGGCAGAGTGTCTAATATCCCTGACCCTGACCCTCAAGTTTTCTCCTTTGTCATTGTGAAGATTAGCCTCTCACTTTGAAAGATTTTGTTCATTTGGGTGAGGCTGGCATGAAGCAAGCTATTGAAAGGAGGGGTACAGAGGACAGTGGACAGAGAGCCTTAGCCCAAACATCCTCCTGCCTGTGGCTCAGCCAGGTGGGACAGATGGACCTCATCCCCAGGACAGACAATCCCTGAGAGAGAACGGGAGAGATGGGAGACAGAGCAGAGGGAGGAGCCTAGCCCACATCACTCCCGATGGTCTGCTTCTCCCCTGGTTCCATCCATCCCCACCCCTTTTCCCTCCTGGTCTCAAACTGGACAGAAGCCTCTGGAGACCCTGTTTCAGCACCACAGTCAGGACAGCTCCTCAACATACCTTCCGGGTGTCTCTGGAGCGCCCCTGGGAGGTCAACCATTTACCCAGCCCCAGTGCAGAGTAGGAGGAGCCTGGGGAAAGCTCTGGTGACATCCTGGTCAATGAAGCTGGTCAGCGTGTCCAGGACCTTCCAGGACGTGCTGCCCCCTCATGCTTGGGCCCTTCGCCCAGTATGGGTGTTGACTAGGAATTGGATGCTGTGTTGAGTAGTTAGATGGGAATAGCAAAACCAGACTCGGAGCGTCATGGGAGGAAAGCATTCACCACTGCAAGTGGGCGTCCTTGTGACATTTTATAGCCGTTCAAGACCTTGGGAGAAATGAGGTTTCCTTTTAATTTTGTATCTGTCCTCATGACCAGCTGAGGAACTTCGGGTGTGCTGTCTGTCTTTCCCCATCAGAGCTGGCTTTAACTCGTTCAATCAGGGACAGGCTATCCCTATTTTGGGGTTTCCTCACATTTCTGTCTGGAACCTTCTGGTCTCTCTCTGGGTGGTCTCAACCACCCCAGGGCTCCCACCCCAACTTCTGTGCAGACACTTCCTGCACTTACTATCCCAGACTGTCCAAACCCCCACAGTCAAAAAGTGGCAGAAAGTGTGGTTCCCCACAGGGCTGAAAAGAGGAAGTTCATGTCCTCCGGACATTTTCCTACACCTGCCTCTCCTTCCGGACTTCACCCAGCTCAGGAGCTCCCACATGGGAGCTGGCTTCCTCCTCCCCTGTGGCCTCCCACGGGTGACCCCTTATCTGAGTCCCCCAAACACCAAAACACAGAGAACCAGCTGCTCAGCCCCCAGACCCAGCATTCTACTGGACGCCAGCCTCATTCCTGTTTTTCCTGGTGGGGCTGGAGGCCTCCAAAATAAAGGAGGGATGAGAAAAAACTTGAGGACACGGGAAAGGTCTTGGACACCGGATCCAGAAAGAAAGGCCAGACACATGGATACTCCAACCTTTCTTCCCACCCCCAACCCACTCCTGCACATTAGGGAAGCACTTTGCTGAGTTGGCCCTGTCCCTAGAGAGAAAAACAAACTTTTGTTCACCTCTCACTCCTGGTCTTCTTGAACTATTATTCCCTCTGGTTGTGAGTGAGCAGATACAGGGAGAAGAAAAACAGATATATGTCATTTCCTTTACCAAAATTAAAGCAAAACTACGCAAAATCCTGCGACTTGTGCATTTGCTTCTATGGAGATCTGCAAAGCTTGTCATTCGACACATATTTATCACTACTGTGCAGCTACTGTGTGCAAGGCAAGTCCACGGTGCTTGAGAGAGTTGCACATTCTTGCCTTCAAAGACTCGTCTTCCACGTCCCAGCTCATCTGTTCTATCCTCCAGGCACACACTTACCCCTCTTCAGAGCTCCCCCAGTCCCATAAATCCCTCACCCAGCTCCCCTCATCATTAAAGTCTTCCATCATCATGACGCATTTGTCACAGCTAAGAAAGTTACATTGGTGCATTACTATGAACTAAGCCCTCCTTGGAGATCTTTCTGGATCAATCAGTACATAGGAAACATTCTCTATTCTTCCTGATGACTCCATGGTCTTCCAATTGGAAGTATATTATTCTATAAAGTACTTGGACCCCCG